CAGGACGGCGTCTGCATCTCTTTGGCGACGGAGCAGGGGGCGCCCACGGAGCAGACCCACGCAGGCGGCGAGTTGGCATAGGTGTGGCTGCTCTGAAGATGATCGATGGCAAGTGGCAGATGTCAGCAGGCACGATGGCAGATTTACCAGGACGGCGGCAAACAGTACCGAGAGCTGAGCTCATGGCCTTCGCAGTTGCGATAGAGGAAACCCGAGGAGACATCGTGTGCGTCACGGACCATTACCCACTACTTAACGCGTGGTCAAGAGGCAGAGCGCACGACCCAGATAGAGGTAAGAATGCAGACATCTGGGCACGAATCAAGCGGGCGATCATGGACACGAACCCCAGGCAGATCGAAGTGGAGTGGACACCCTCACATCAGGACGAGGAGGAGGTGGAGCTGATCAAGCCGATCTTTGCGATGGGCAATAGCTTCGCAGACGCTCTGACGACGGTGGCAGCGGAGGCATCTTGGGACAGAGTCAGCAGGCCCCTACCTCGCACGGACGAATGGGGCGCGATCTGTGCACACGTTAGACTACGAGCACGGCAGGCGTTGGCGGACACAGCTAGCATGGATCCCTGGTGTGCAGAGAGGCCCTCCACGGCCAAGCCCAAGGTAAAGCGCGACAAGCAGCAAGAGATCATCAGCAGTGCCAAGCAACACGACATGGTCAAGCTCAAGAACAAGTGGTTTTGTACAGCGCGCAGGCAGTATATCGCAGCGGACGCCCTGCAAGAGTTCGCGACGACGGAGTGCAATGCAACGTTCAGCACGGCGAACGAGATCGTGGAGGTCAAGGGCGACAGATTCATGGGCAATGGCAAGATACACCGGGGCCACGCGATCAGTGAATGGTCGCGGTATGGGCTGCTGTTATGTGCACGGTGTGCGGCGTATGGCACGACCATCGGAAAGAGGTTGAGAGAGCCGTGTGACGAGACGATCACCAAGTACGGGCAGGACGCGCTCAACAGGATACGCGATGGGCGATACCCTGGCTACAAAAGACCACCGAAGGCGGCACAAGAGGCGGAGTTGGCACGGACAGTGAGGGAGCTGCAGGACCAGGAGCGCTTGGCCCCGCATGAGGAGCAAGTCCCCCTGCAGCTGATGACCCCCCCCCCCCACCACCAGAACCACACCCAGAGCATCGACCGAGAAAAACAGTGAAGCGTCGGCCAGCAGCGAGATACACACCACCAGCAGACCATCCAGCAGAGCGCGCAGGTGAGGGCCAGCCCACTGCGCAGCCCGAGACGACGGCAGACTACGACGACCCAGACCTGCAGCGGGACCTGGAGAAGTTTTTCGGCGACTTTCCCCAGCGCGGTGAGGGGTTAGACCGCATGGAACCCCTGCGTGGCGAGGGGTTAGGCCACGGCAGTCCCCTGCGCGGTGAGGGGTTAGACCGCAGTGCCAAAGGCAAGCAGAGGCTCGAGGCGGAGGTCCCTGACGAGCCCAGTGAGCACGACGCTGACTTTTTGACCAACTGTGTGGTAGACAGGACCTCGCAACCTACAGGGCGGACCCACACCCTGGGAAACCGACAGGCTGAACGCGAGGGGGAGGGCTTGGCCCGCGGATACCACGTGAACCGCGAACACAGCGAGCGAAATAGTCGGGGGACCTCGCCCGAGCCAGTGGGCAGTAGCATCGAGGATGGGGACAGTGCGAGACTCGGCGTTCCCCCGCGCGGTGAGGGGTTAGACCGCAGGAGCAGCGACCCCCAGCGCGGCGAGGGGTTAGGCCACTTTCTCCCCCAGCGCGGCGAGGGGTTAGGCCGCAGCTATGGATTGGCAGCGAGCTCGAGCAGGTTGCCACGGGCACCGACTGGCGACTACATCGAGCTAGAGCTGTATGACGAGTATGACAACTATGTCCCCCAGCACGGTGAGGGGTTAGACCGTGCCCGACCCCAGCACGGTGACAGTGCGGGGCAAGGCGATCCCCAGCGCGGTGAGGGGTTAGACCGCAGCACCCCCCAGCGTGGCGAGGGGTTAGGCCACCGACCCTAGCGCGGTGAGGGGTTAGACCGCTCCCTGCCCCAGCGTGGCGAGGGGTTAGGCCAGGTCCCTGACGAGCCCAGAGAGCATGACGCGGACAGCGTGACCAACATGGTGGTAGACAGGACCTCGCAACTAACAGAGCGGACCCATACCCTGGGAAACCGACACACTGAACGCGAGGGGGAGGGCTTGGCCCGCGGATACCACGTGAACCGCGAACACAGCGAGCGGCATTGTCAGGAGACCTCGCCCAAGCTAGAAGGCAGCAGCATCAAGCATGGCAGCAGTGCGAGACTCGGAGTCCCCCCGCGCGGTGAGGGGTTAGACCGCAGCAGCAGACCCCAGCTAGGCAAGGGGTTAGGCCACAGGCCCCAGCGCGGCAAAGAAGTAGGCCGCACCGATCCCCAGCGCGGCGAGGGGTTAGGCCACTCTACCCCCCAGCGCGGCGAGGTGTTAGGCCGCAGCAGTGGTGCGGCAGCGAGCTCGAGCACGTTGCCACGGGCACCGACTGGCCGCACCCGGCCCCAGCGCGGCGAGAGTGCAGGGCAAGGTGACCCCCAGCGCGGTGAGGGGTTAGACCGCAGCAGCATTCCCCTGCGTGGCGAGGGGTTAGGCCACCGACCCCAGCGCGGTGAGGGGCTAGACGGCTTCCCGCCTCAGCGTGGCGAGGGGTTAGGCCACAAAATTCCCCAGCGCGGCGAGGGGTTAGGCCGCAGGAGGTTTGCTTCGAGTTCGAGTAGGTTGGCATTGGTACAGCCCGCCGACTACATCGAGCTGGAGCTCTACGATGAGGACGACGAGGCTCCAGGCCCGTCGCCCGCCAGCGGCGTGACACAGGCGCAGCCCTGTGCGCCTGTCGCCGCCGCCGCCGCCCGCTCGCCGAGCGTGAACCCCAGAGTGCCCGCGACCTTGGCACCTGGGAGTGGGCCCCCGCTGGGAAATCGGCCAGCGGGCGGCGGCGGAAGAGACTGATGGATAAACCACGGGCTCGCCATGTCGCGCCGGGGCCTCGGTGTCAGCGCGGGGTGGCACGTCTAGTGGCGTGCCTAACCTAATCCTCCTCCTCCTCCCCCTCCTCCCCCCCCTCCTCCTCGCTCCGCGCCTCCTCCGAAGGCCGCCCTCCGCGCGCCAACCTGGTGGCTTTGAGGCCGTGGCTCCGGCCTCCAGCGGCCGCTCGGAGCGATCCGGGCACCCCCGGAACGCCCTCGGCGAGGCGCAGCCGCTGGAGAACACCCCGGCGTTGAAAGAACCTGTGGAACTAAAGAATTTCTTGACGCATCGCGTATCCCCAATTAGCATCGTTCGCGCCCCGTTCGTTGTTGACCCGCTTCTTGACCTTCGCCAGGGAGCCGCCGACCAAAAAAGTATCCCCACCAGAGTTCCCGCGCCCTGCAGCTAATTAGGTATGTTTCCGTGCCCCGGACAGCTTCTGTCTCCGCCTGCGCTCTTCGCTTGCGGACGCGACCGAAAAAGTATCCCCACCAGACTAGCATGCTCGCATGTTCCTGGCCCCTGGCCCCCAGACGCTGCCACAGCCTGGCCGTGTTTGCAGCTGCCGCCTTGCAATGGTGGGATGCACCTCCACGTGGACTGTTCATGAGTGTTTTAGCCTTCTTCCTCAACCACTTGAGGTTGACACTGTTGGCATGCGACACAGGTACGATGGGTTGCTTGCTCAGCCCCGCGCTATGCCGCGTTTTGCCCGGGTGGCTCGTTTACCTAAGGCGCCTGGCGCGACACGGTACAATTCGTTTGCTTTCCTGGTGGTTTCGCCCCTGGAATGGTTGCACCTCAGCCGCCTGGCACACCTGGCACCTCTTGCAACTCTGCCTTCAGTCCCCAGCGTCGCTCCTCGGCGTCCCTCGGCGGCAGTTTCGGCGGCCGTTAGTTCGCGCGCTTCGGTAATTAGGTGTTGCTCGTTGCCCGGGCTGACTTCGGACGCCGCCTGCGCTTCCGCTTGCGGCCTTGACAGAAAAGGTATCGCCACCAGACTGTCTCTTTTTTTCTTGCTCCTGGTGCAATTTAGGCTCCCGCTTGGTAGCTGTAGCTTTGGACGGCGCGCGGCCCTTCCGTTTGCGCTCGCGAACAAAAAAGTACCCCCACCAGCCCATCCAGAAACGATGCCAATGAGAATTGACGGGGGGACACAGGAAGAGACGCGCATAGTCAAACAGCGAGGGAGGCTTGGGAGGCTCCGTGGCCATCTCGAGCCGTCTTGGAGCGGTGTTGGGGCCGCTTGGAGCATTGTGGGAGCCATATCGATCCAGTTTGGGCTATCTGAGCCATCTTGGAGGTCATCTTGGGCTCTGTGAGGCCGCTCGGGAGCCTCTTTGGGACCTCTCGAGTGCCTCTTGGAAGCTTTCTGGGGCGTCTTAGGGCGCTCCTTGGGCCCTCTTGGGAGCCTCCTGGGAGCCCTGGAGGGCCTCTTGGGGCCATCTTGGAGGGGGTCAATCAAAAGGAGGGGGGGAAGTCCTGGATGTCCCTCCCTCCTTTGGGGGCCACCATCCTCGTGAGCGGTGTCACAAATTGCCCCTCCCTGGGGCCGAAAAAGGACCCTCTGACACCTCGCGACCCCTCCCAAAAAATCTCAGGGAGGGGAGGGGGAGGGTTCCCTTCCCGAAAGGGAAGAGGGGTTGTGGAAGAGGAAAGAGACACTTCTTAGAACACCTGTCGCCCAAAGGGCTGGTGGGATTCGTTGCAGGTGCAACCGGACCGAGGTGTAAGATCGAGGTCGGCTCGGGGAGGGTACCCTCACGTTCTTCGTGTTTGTTGGGTGTTCTTGTGCTCCATGGTGAGGGTATCATTGGATGCTCTGTGTGTTTAGCTGGCGGAGGGTCTCATGTTCTGGAGGGAAATGATTATGGCCTAGGTCCGACTGTAAGAGTGACCGCTCACTCGACGAAGACGTAAGGACACCGAGCGAGCAGAGCATCAGAAGACGTCCGAGGACCCCCTCTCGGCGCGCGCCGCCGGCAACCGGCGCCAGAACGATGCAGCTGCCTGCTGCCACGGCGCCGGTCGATGCGCCTGCAAGGCCCTGCTGGAAGGCGCTTCCAGACGCCAGGTTTCCAGAGGAGTTCCACGAGATCTTCGGCCCTGTGGACACGAACCGCGAGGCCACCGCCAGGATTCGAAGGAGAAAGCACGTACCCTGATCTCCGGCGAGACGTTGCTTTCGGCCGGCGGGTTTTGTCTCTGCTTCGGCTCTCGGCGGTGTGATCGAGCCCCGGGACAATCAAAAGCGGATCTGAGACGAAGGGTTACCCTTGCAAAAGTTGTCGGTATTGCTGGGGCCGCGGATCGGCAAAATCAGATCGGCGGATGTCAATCGGCGGCGAACGAGGGGGAGAGAGAGTGAGCGGGCCTTCTCAGAAGGCTCGAAAGTTCTCCGACCTTCTGAGAAGTTTTCTGAGACCATCCCGAAGACGCGGAAGACTTCTCAGGAGGCGTGAGGGTTCCTGAGAAGTCTCGCCGTGTTCTGAGAAGGCCTCCTCCTCCTCCTCCTCCTCCTCCTCCTCCTCCTCCTCCTCCTCCTCCTCCTCACTTCCCCCACTCGCTCGGCGCCGAGGAAGGCACGCACCCTGATCTCCGGCGAGATATGCTGTGTTCCACCGGCGGGTTCTGCATCGGCTTTGGGGCTCTCGGGGGCCACGATCGGGCCCCTTTGGCCTTCAGAAGCAGATCCATGGGGCGAAAGAGTACGTACCCTGGAAAGAGCGGTCTGCACTGCGTGGGCCGCGGGCCGCGGATGAAAAAAAAAAACAGATCGGCGGATGTCGGCGCGGGTAATGTTTCTATCCGTATCCATATCCAGTGCGTCTTGGACTTTCTTTTGGACGGGGCGCCGCAAGGCCGAGGCGCGCTGGATATGGATAAAAAATCGAGCCTCTGGGGGCCAGGTTTCTGTCCAGGTCCAGTGGGCCTCGGGTTACATGGGAAGGGAGCCCGAAACTCAAACCTGCAGTGGATATGGACTCAAGTCTTGCCTGCAGTCAGGGCAATCGGCACCACCTAAACGCCTTGCCTCACAAAAGCTGTTTCAGGCGTTCTTAAGGCCTTTTGGAGGCCTCCTGGGCGTATTCTGGGGGCCTTTGGGGGCTTCCTCGGGCCACCCTGCCTCCAACCGCGGTCTCCCTGAACGACCGTGTCACGATTTGGAATGCTTCGGAGGGTGTCTTTGGGTCATCTTGGGCCGCCATGAGGCTCTCTGAGGGCCATCTTGGACCCGTGTTGTGCTCTTGGGGCTCTCTTGGACTGCTTGGAAACCCTTGCGGATGGTTGTGGGGCGATTTTGGAGCCTCCCAGGCGGCTTCGGACGCCCAGAAGACAGCCGTCGCGGAGCGTCGGGAAGCCGAAAAGAGGAGAGCCCCCAAATTCACCAAAAACCAACAGAAAATCCATGATTTTTGCCTCTGGGGGCCTTCTTGGGAGTGCTCTTGGAGGCCTCTTTGGGGCCGTCCTGGAGGCCTCTTGGGCCATCTTGAGGTTACGTCGGTCACTCTCGGAGCGCTCTTGTGCTGTCTTGGGGGTCTCTGGGACGTCTCCGATGACCCCCCTGATCGCCCTAGGTATGCTGGGAAGACTTGGCAAAACGCCCTGCGAGGCCCGGGGGCCGCTTCGAGGCCCGTCCGGAGGGTCCCAGAGCCCCAGATCCCGGAAGTCCGGTTTTTGTTGGGGGGGTCCCCCGCCCGGGCTTGTAAAAAGATGGGAAGAATAAGATTGCACGCGTGCATGCGCTCGACGTCTACATACATTGTCTGCTGGTATCCTTCCATGTTCATATCACGTAGTATTCATAATGTGCGCAGAGCCCGTCGACGTCGCGTCTATTTTGTCGCCTTGGCTTTTACGCTCGGCCGCCGCTAGTTTTTTGTAACAACTACTTGGTGTTTAGGGCGTCGGCCGCCATATTTCCGCATAGTGTTTTATGTTTTTCGTCGCCGCCGTGGACATCCCTGTGAATATTTGTCCTTGAGTGTCGACCTGGTGATGATGTCCTCAGCAGAATCTCGAGGAGACTCCACTTGGCATCGCTCGGACGTGTGCCTCTGTTCTTGGCAGGGACCATCGAGGAGTATTTTCCTTCACCTTCTGCTGCTGCAGTTGCTGGCGGCAGGGTGCCACTGCCCTCGACGCCCCTGGTCCCCGGCCGGAGGCCGAACAAAGAGCACTTGGTAGAGCTCCAGTGCTGATGTCCGGAGCAGAATCTCGAGGAGACCCCACTTGGCATCGCTCGGACGTGTGCCTTTGTTCTCGGCAAGGACCATCGAGGATCATTTTCGTCCATCTTCTGCTGCTGAAGTTGCTGGCGGCAGGGTGTCACTGCCCTCGGCGCCCCTGGTCCCTGGCCAGAGGCCGAACAAAGAGCACCCGGTGGGCTTCTCCAGTGCTGATGTCTGGAGCAGAATCTCGAGGAGATTCTACTTGGCATCGCTCGGACGTGTGCCTTTGTTCTCGGCAAGGACCATCGAGGAACATTGTCGTTCACCTTCTGCTGCTGCAGTTGCTGGCGGCAGGGTGCCACTGCCCTCGACGCCCGTGGCCTCTGGCCGGAGGGTGAACAAAGAGCACCTGGTGGGCTTCTTCAGTGTTGAGGTCTGGAGCAGGATCTCGAGGAGATTCCACTTGGCATTGCTCGAACGTGTGCCTTGTTCTCGGCAAGGACCATCGAGGAACATTTTCATTCACTGTCTGCTGCTGCAGTTGCTGGCGGCAGGGTGCCACTGCCCTCGACGCCCCTGGTCCCCGGCCAGAGGCCAAAAAAGGGGCACCTGGTGGACCTCCAGTGCTGATGTGACTCCACTTGGCATCGCTGGGACGTGTGCCTCTGTTCTCGGCTAGGACCATCAAGAAGCATCTTCCTTCCCCTTCTGCTGCTGCAGTTGCTGGCGGCAGGGTGCCCTCGACGTCCCTGGTCCCCAGCCGGAGGCCGAACAAAGAGCACCTTGTTGGTTTCTCCAGTGCTGATGTCCTCAGCAGAATCTCGAGGAGACCCCACTTGGCATCGCTCGGACGTGTGCCTTTGTTCTCGGCAGGGGCCATCGAGGAGCATGTTCGTCAATCTTCTGCTGCTGCAGTTGCTGGCGGCATGGTGCCACTGCCCTCGACGCCCCTGGTCCCCGGCCGGAGGCCGAACAAAGAGCACCTTGTGGGCTTGTCTTGTGTTGATGTCCTGAGCAGAATCTCGAGGAGACTCCCCTTGGCATCGCTCGGACGTGCGCCTTTCTTCTCGGCAAGGACCATCGAGGAGCATCTTCGTTCACCTTCTGCTGCTGCAGTTGCTGGCGGCAGGGTGCCACTGCCCTCGACTCCCCTGGTTTCTGGCCAGAGGCCGAACAAAAAGCACCCAGTGGAGCTCCAGTGCTGATGTCCTGAGCAGTGTCACGAGGAGACTCCACTTGACATCGCTGGGACGTGTGCCTTTGTTCTCGGCAAGGACCATCGAGGAGCATTTTACTTCACCTTCCGCTGCTGCAGTTGCTGGCGGCAGGGTGCCACTGCCCTCGACGCCCCTAGTCTCTGGCCGGAGGCCGAACAAAGAGCACCTGGTGGAGCAGAATGTCGAGGAGACTCCACTTGGCATCGCCGGGACGTGTGCCTTTGTTCTCGGCAAGGACCATCGAGGAGTAGATTCCTTCACTTTCCGCTGCTGCAGTTGCTGGCGGCAGGTTGCCACTGCCCTCGACGCCCCTGGTCACCGGCCGGAGGCCGAACAAAGAGCACCCGGTGGGCTTCTCCAGTGCTGATATCTTGAGCAGAATCTCGACGAGATTCCACTTTGCATCGCTCGGACGTGTGCCTCTGTTCTCGGCAGGGACCATCGAGGAGCATCTTCGTTCACCATCTGCTGCAGTTGCTGGCGGCAGGGTGCCGCTGCCCTCGAAGCCCCTGGTCACCAGCCGGAGGCCGAACAAAGAGCACCCGGTGGGCTTCTCCAGTGCTGATGTCCTGAGCAGAATCTCGAGGAGACTCCACTTGGCATCGCTCGGACGTGTGCCTCTGTTCGCGGCAGGGAGCATCGAGGAGCATCTTCGTTCACCTTCTGCTGCTGCAGTTGCTGGCGGCAGGGTGCCACTGCCCTCGACTCCCCTGGTTTCTGGCCGGAGGCCGAAAAAAAAGCACCCAGTGGAGCTCCAGTGCTGATGTCCTCAGCAGAGTCACGAGGAGACTCCACTTGGCATCGCTGGGACGTGTGCCTTTGTTCTCGGCAAGGACCACCGAGGAGCATTTTCCTTCACCTTCCGCTGCTGCAGTTGCTGGCGGCAGGGTGCCACTGCCCTCGACGCCCCGGCCCCCCCCTGGTCTCTGGCCGGAGACCGAACAAAGAGAACCCGGTGGGGAGACTCCATGAGGCATCGCTCGGACGTGTTCGAGGAGCATCTTCCTCCACCTTCCGCTGTTGCAGTTGCTGGCGGCAGGGTGCCACTGCCCTCGACGCCCCTGGTCTCTAGCCAGAGGCCAAGAAAAGGGCACCTTCTGGACCTCCAGTGCTGATGTCCTGAGCAGGATGTCGAGGAGACTCCACTTGGCATCGCTGGGACGTGTGCCTTTGTTCTCGGCAAGGACCACCGAGGAGCATTTTCCTTCACCTTCCGCTGCTGCAGTTGCTGGCGGCAGGGTGCCACTGCCCTCGACGCCCCGGCCCCCCCCTGGTCTCTGGCCGGAGACCGAACAAAGAGAACCCGGTGGGGAGACTCCATGAGGCATCGCTCGGACGTGTTCGAGGAGCATCTTCCTCCACCTTCCGCTGTTGCAGTTGCTGGCGGCAGGGTGCCACTGCCCTCGACGCCCCTGGTCTCTAGCCAGAGGCCAAGAAAAGGGCACCTTCTGGACCTCCAGTGCTGATGTCCTGAGCAGGATGTCGAGGAGACTCCACTTGGCATCGCTGGGACGTGTGCCTTTGTTCTCGGCAAGGACCATCGAGGAGTATTTTCCTTCACCTTTCGCTGCTGCAGTTGCTGGCGGCAGGGTGCCACGGCCCTCGACGCCCTTGGTCTCTGGCCGGAGGCCGAACACAGAGCACCTGGTGGGCTTGTCCAGTGCTGAGGTCCGGAGCAGAATCTTGAGGAGATTCCCACCGTGGCTACCAGAGCTCTACAGGACGCCCCCTCTCCGCCCGCGC